ATAATTAAGAGGTTGTCTACAACCTCGAAACACCCGACAGCTTGTGGGATAAGTGGTCCTAATACATTTATCTATAAGGTGTCCTAAGTTCGTGCATGGTATGGTATGGTATGGTATGAGCGTGAAGTAAGAAGGGTCTACTAATGAAGAAGCTTGGCAAGTCGGCATACCTCACTGTTACTTTTCCGTCCATTAATTTAATAGATCAAGAGATCCAGATTTTATGTGAATAAAATGCACCTACCTGACAATATTGTTATCGTGTAAACGAAACTCGAAGAAAATCTAATTTCCATACAAAACGATGGCGTGTCAGGAGACAATTTATCGCGGTCAATTTGTTGAACCGAGTTGCAGAGGGGAGAACATAGTCATTCGGTCTGAATTTTCGACAGTTTGAGTGCTAATCTGATCCAATTTTATACAGAGAAGTACAATGAAAGTTCGACGAACTTAACTGACTTAATTGACTTTTCTCGCCGTTTTACACGTTATTTTTCTATTCGGATATCTTTCGATATCCAAACAACTGTATTTATGTACGCGAGAAAATAAAACGTCTGTAATACGATGCGAGTATTTAAAATGTTAATGATAACATTATCCAATAACTTTACTCTGCTTCAATAAAATTAACAAAAAGGAAAAAAATAAAGTTTCGATAGGAAAGCTGATCTTTCTCGATTAAATCTGTGTAAATTTATAAATAAACTCGAGAGAGTATAAATTGTAGATAATATTAAGATATATCGAAAAAGGGAGAGAGAGAGACTTCTTCTGTCAAGTTTTATATTGAATAAATTTACGAGTACTCCTATAAGTGAAAGTGCCTTATTAAATAATATTTCTTATGAATTTATATAATTTTCAGTTCAACCAAACTATGCTTCGATTATTTATCGGTCTTGAAATACAGTCTTAAACTAAAGCTGGAGTAGTAATATCACAAATTAAATTTACAAGCTGTTTAATATTATTGATGCAAATAACATCTTAGAAAGCTGTTAATAGTTTGATGCTAATATAAGCATCTTAAAAACTATAAATAATTTATTGCGAAGAATATCACTTCAGCTAGGATTCGAACCTGGATATTTATTATTTGAGTCAAAATATTAAATTGCTTGTCAATTTAATTTGTGGTACTATTCCATCTTCGGTTTACAGTCAAATAATCGGTGCACAGTTTGCTTAAATTGGAAATTGTATAAATTCACAAGAAGTATTGTTAGCCATGAAGAACCGCCTTAACCGAATATGGTATTTTTTACTCATGTTCAATCTCATCGATCAATAAAAATATTCAGAGAGCTTTTTAAAAAGGCAATTAAAAAATAGTCTTCGAGTAAAAAGAAAAATATATTCAAGTCAATAGCAACAATTGCACTCTGATTGTGTTGTAATTTTGTTTTGAATTGTATTTGATAGATTTGACAAAAACCTTCTCGTATCAATCTGTATCTCTACGTAAAAAGTATCACTTATATAATCGCTTAATCGGAACTAACCATCAGCGCACTTAATGTGCCTATTAAGCGAACTATCAGCCTTAGTAGAGGTTCATACGCTGCATGGATTCTCCGGTCTGAAGGTCTCGACAGCTTGCGGGTTAAGTGGTTGTAATACATTCAGCCGGAATGTGGTCCAACTTTCCACATACACAATGGCCAAGGGGTTGGGAGACGATGGGAAGGGGGGTATGCGAGACGGTTGGCTCAACCGACAGCCACGCTGCTCTTTCGCTTTCCATGGTTCTGTATAAACCGCCTAGTGAATGTGTTTGCGTACGCGGGGACCATGGAGTACTCGCGTGGAAGAAGAACATTGGGAAGGACGAAGAGAGTTGATCTTGACGTTAACTATAGGTCTCCCGGTCCAGACGTTCCAAGGGGTGGGTAAGGAGGAGGAAAGGGAGTCACGAACCAGTCGTGGAAAGAGAGAAATAGAAAAGGAGAACGTTGTAGAAAAGAAGATACCGACTGCATAGCCAGCGCCAAGCCAGACTGGACGGCGCTGAGCTCGTCGCCCTTGTAGTAAACAAAGCTGTAACTCTCCTCTCACGCTGAGGAATCAATGCTTCGTGCCACGGCTCTTGGGGGAACAAACTCCTAGAGCAAAACTCCCCTCGCGCGCCCGCGCATCCATCTTAGTTTTGGTGTGGCTTGCATGTTGATGCGTCGGAAAGCGAGCTGCAAGTCGGAAAGATGGTCACTCGAATTTGCTTTCCGCGTAGCACTCTTCTTGTCACCTTCGTATCGCGCCTTAAACTTTACGAAATACCAATTTTACATCGTTGCGAATGGATTGTCGAGGTCGCCGTGAAGTGACGAAGCAGATAAAAGATAGAAATTGGTTTCTCATTACATGGAGATTGCGTCGGTGTCGTTGAGAATTACGCTTTTAATAATGGACTTCTCTGTCTTATAACTGATTGCGTACTGCAATATTTTTCTTGTTCTTTTCTTTTTGTGTTTATTGAATGTAATAAGAACCTCGAGAAGAAGCAGGTTCAACACTTGCTATTACAAAGTAAGCAGTGACAATCAAAGCAACTAGAGAATACAATAATATTTCCTTCGATTATGCCAATGAAAAAGATCAAACGAAGCTAAGGACCCTTATTGTTCTGTAAAGAACATAGGTGCCCAACCTTATATAACTCATTTTATCTGGATCTTTTCCAAGAATTTTTGAAAGAATGTTACGAAGTTGAGAAAATTCTTTTAAAATGTACGAAAAGTATCGCATCATTTAACAATTTCTGCTTTATCTTCAATAAATTTTTCTAATGAAGTGAACGTATTAATTTATAGTGAAATATATCACAAATCAACTTACTATATACTGCGGGATAACTATTTTAATTAAACACGTAATTCATGTACAAAACAGATGATTTTGTTTTATTTTTAATATGGTTTTTTTGTAAAATACGGTTAAATTTTATAAATTCAGCACATTTTTATCTCACTATGATGAAAAAAATTACATCTAAAAAAATTTTATTTTAATATATTCGACAAACTGGAATAAAAAATAACATTTAAAAAAAGAATTGTATGTAAATCGTAACACGCAAGGCTGTCACCATGAAATTCGAACAATTGATACGTTGTCGCGGAAAAGCAAATGATGAAAGTGTCAACTGCGTTTTTCAGTATCTATGCAATCCCACCGACGCGACGCCGGGAATCCCCGCCGAGATTCGTATATCTCTGCGAAGATAACCGCCGACAGCCGCCTGTGCAAGAGCGACTGGATAAATGGTGGACGAAAATTCGGTTACGGTCGGAAGACGCGAGAAACGACTGCGAAACGATCTTAGTTTCAAGTCAGAAGCGAATAGTTGCGCTTGTTGTGATTTATGATAGTAGACGTACTCCGTTTCTCTATTGCGATAATCGATTGTAAAAGGTAAATCCACTTAAGTAAGGTAAATGTACTAGTTGGTGGACAGTTAGTCAGCTTGACCCGCAATTATTGGGTGAAATGATAAAAACTTTATTTTTAAATAGGCTTTTAATGATATATTTATGATTCTAAATAAATTTATTGTTTTTATAAATTTAATAAAACGAATTTATTTAGAGTCGTACATATCATTAAAAATTTAATATTTGAAATTTTTGTCATTTCGTTCAATAATTGGGTCATGTCCACTAATTGATATATTTACTTTACATGTGGCTTTATTGTGAAGACTTTGAATCCTCTTGCATATTTCAAGAAGTTGCATTTCGAAAATCTGCCCGATCTTCTACTCTTCTTGTAAATAATATTATAATTGTAATATTTATAATTATGTATTATTAATTACAGTACAATTGTGATTTTTATGATAAATTACGATGAGCTATTCTCTTTTATCTTCACGAGCCTCTCTGGTAAGCCTCTCGCGAACATTACGGATTAACGTCGCGACGCCGTGGCCGGGAGTTATCACGATGGCGCAATATAGCCTGTCTGTACAACAGCGCATTTGCACATTGTGAAAGGGAAGCGGGCTGTGTTGAAGTGCAACGTTCTTCGTGCTCGAGCGAAAGAACTCGCTGCCCTTCTTATTTCTCCAGAGACTTTTCGCAGCGAGCGAATGAGAGATCAGAATTCTCTTTATTCTCTACCTCCCCTCGTTTCTCTTTGTTACCTTTCTTCGGCCTTCACTTTCTTCGACGTGAATAGGAAAATCGGCTAAATATCTCAGAGCACTTCCGTATCCCGTTGTCGCGATACTTTCTACTTATCTCCGGTTTTCTTATTCTATTTCCCTACCTCGAAGAGGAAAACTTACATATTTCGAGCGACAATAACAATCGATGCTATTCAACGAGCTATGCAGAATACAACCATCCGGATTCTCAATAAGCGGTCATTTAACGAGAGAAATGGTCGGGCTTTCTCTCTACGGGGACCAGTTTTTACTCGTCTGCACAACATCATCGCATGCTCTCGGAAAACTTTGCTCGTATAAAACATCAAGCGCATATCACAACGCGCCATATACATATACATATACTCGTACATTGCACGTTAGTACATATGCCCTCGAAATCCCAGAGCGATTTATCCTACTGGTGAATATCTATAACCATAGTAGGTTTGTAGATCACTCCCTGCTTGAAAGCATCATTGATCATCCGTCTCGTTCGCGAATCTCATTCCTATATTTCCTTGTTCTTTTCCTTCCTTTATATCGTTACTATACATCTTTATTCTTTCTCCATATCCTCCTTGCATTTTGGCACAACTAAAAACTGAAAAGATATATATCTATCCTTGTGATCTACCGTTCCTGTGGTAACGGTTGAATTATCTCTTTATTCGAAATCTTAACGTTAATGAAAAAACAAGGCAGAAAATAACGCGTTTTATAAAATATACGTACAATTTTTAATGAGAATGATATTGCGAAATATCGTTATGAGAACGGACAGCAACTTTGTAGTAATCGATACACGAGCTGCGTTTATACGATGTATAACGTGATATCCATCTCGTTTCAGGTGGCCTGGATGCTTTTCGACAAGAGCGCTATTCTGACGGTACAGAATCACGTTATTACCAGGAACCCCAGAATATCCGTGTCGCACGATAAGCACAGGACCTGGTTCCTACATATCAACGACGTGCACGAGGAGGACAAGGGAAAGTACATGTGCCAGATTAACACTGCTGCCGCCAAAACGCAATATGGCTATCTACACGTCGTAGGTAAGGCGCTGCTTACGTGATATATCGGTTTTTATATAGTGTTAAAAATTGCTTTTAAAAGTTACGTCACTGTATTTAATATTTTTATAAAATTATCATTTTAAAAAACAGTTATATTTCGATGTCGATGTTAGACATACAGAATAAGTTTATATTAGTCGTTTTGATATCAGAATAATATACTTCGATATTGCTTAAAATATTAATAATAATAATTTATATGTAAAAAGTTAAAAATATATTTCGCGGATTAATAATAATATTAAAAGATATTCTCTTTGTTTCTGAATTTGTAAAACTAAAATAATAATTCAATCAGAAAGAAAAGGATATTATTGCATCGTAATTAAATTACATTTCTTGAGATATTATTAAAACGTATAATAAATCAACCTAACTAAGACTCCTTATAAGTCAAAAAACAATGAAAGAACAAGGGCAGTAGGAGTCAAGCGCGGGAGATGTTGCGCAAATAACACGACTATCGTAGCGTGAAACTTCTTTATTTTACTAAAGCGCTTACATGTTTCGGCTCATTTTTGAGCCTTCTTCAGAGATAACTAATAAATTTACATACATAGAATATAACAATTATTAACTAGTCATGGTGATCTTCCTCACCTCGAGAGTATAAATGCCAGAATTAAATCCAGATAAGAATGCAGTAAAAAAGAAACAAGGGGGAAAGAAATTTTGAAATTCTCGAAATAAAGAAAATGTAAAACTAATGTATCAAAAAATTTTGAAATTATAATTAATTATTCTGATGGTTAGGAAGCTCACCTTGATCACAAGATACCGCATCGCAAACATTACTCTTAATACTTCAAAAACCGGTTTCTGATAAGTTGGCCAGTCAGTGTCAGACACAGTTAGTCTCTTATTGATTTAATTGGTCTTTATTGAGACAGTAATTAGAAAACTAGCGTTAAAAAATTAATCAAAATCAAGAAAAGGTATCCCCGAAAATGATCTAAAGTCAACGCCCGACCGACTTCTTCCTGTGCACGAGCGACACTGACTTGTTTTTTGATATTATTAAATTCATGACATTATATGGTATATTTAACATATCTGCTAAAGATAATTTTAAGAATAGAATATATTTATTAATGGATGTAGCTTATAATCATTAAAATATAATAACTTATTCCTTTAAATATCAAATTTTAAATTAGCAGTAAATTATAGCTCTATCTTTATCAAAAATTGATTTTTTTCTAATATTAGAATCCTATTTCATTTAGATAGTGCATACAGAGTGAGAGAACTGCGAACACTAAGAGAAAAAGTCAAATATAATCGACAAAGTTATTAATTAATAGGAGTTTTTATTTAAAAGATATGCCTGTTATTATTTGATCTTAAACTGCAGTAATTAATATTCATATACGTATTAACAATATATAAACTATAATTTTAAACAAAATTCTGCGTCACTATGCGGAATAGTGCTAAATAGGTTTTGTGTTTCGTTTAAAATTATAGTTTATATTAATAATATATAAATGTTAATCACTGTAGTTTAAAACCAATACCCCTTAAAATAAAAGTTTCTATAATTGATAAATAATTGTCGGTTTTTTTTATTTCTTTCATTGGTAATTCTCCTATTCTCTCCTATATCAAAACCATTGAAAACGTAATGGTATTTACCTTAAACGGCGTGTGCATTCTATGTTTATGTGGTGTAGCACGGCATTAAATGTATATCGGACTATCATTGGATGCAAGAAATGAGAGGTTATGACTACTCTATAATATCGTTCGTGTTTATCCTGTGTTCATAATTTCCCCTGTATACACTTTCCATATATATACTTATAAAATTTATTATACATATATATAAAATAAATTTATTTATAAAGGATAATTATATCTATTAGCGAATAATGACGATCTACAATTTCGTTTTCTCATTAGAACATCTTATTGTATTTCATCATTTTCGAAAAAAGTACTATTTCATTTCGTTTTACGTTAATTCTGTGGCGCCATTAGCAGAGAACATGCCACGGTCGATTGTTATTTACGACTTTATCGTATCGTATTGTGAATCCATTAGATACTCGGAATAAATCTCATTTCGTGTAATGGAGTCAGTTTACCGGAGTCACGAAGTTTGCAACAGAGCATAAGCATTTTATCGCAGCCGTCTAAACAGATTTATGTTTAGAGAACGAAAGTATCCCCTTCCCGCTAATTTTGCATGGAAAAGCGTAACGGAGCTATAATAATTTAATCAGTAGAAGGAGAATATCAATAAGATCTCGAGATGGTCGCCATCTCTCTGCCTGCCGAGAGAACATATTAATATCTCGAGTTTTGACGTCTCAGCTGCAGCCACCGTTGAAGCGAGAGCAATGATACCGTGGATGGGGGGGACGGATGCATTGGTGTGGAGTAATCAGAGGGTTAGATTAATTGTTTCCACGGGACTCTTGCTCTCCGTTGCACAAACATACACAAGATCGCCTTGCGGTACTCTCTCGACACTTCGTGATAATGCCGATGGAGCCAACACAATGGCGATCTGCCATGACTACATCGCGCATAACAAGCTTCCGTCAATGTATTTTGGTATTATTAGGTATCTGTCTCCACATTTGCCGCACGAGGTAATCCCCCGATTCATTTTGCGGAAAGGTTAGCCGATTAAACAATTTCTTTTTGGAAGAAAAGTAAAATTCATTGATTCCTCAACTTTATTAAAGATAATGATTAATTATCATCAGCACCATATTTACTACAAAATAAGTTTGCAGATATTTAAAATACAACTTTTTATTTTTTATGACAAAAAGAAACTCGAAACATTTTTTGAAAATAAGTTTTTAACCATGTCAAATTTTAATATATATTTGATATAAATCTTATAAATAGAGAAGAATTGACTTGAGAAAAGTTGTCACGTTTGATCGCACGTCATTCAAATGTCGTAAAAATACTTACTCGTTAAAATATATCGATATTCCTTGCAATAGAAAGAGTTCGCTAACTTCATGACCTGGTAAACATATCGGATATTATACGTCTCTTGTTTCTGTCTATTTAGTTGTAAAACTTCTTTTTTGATTTCTTGATCTGTCGATCATGCGTGGTTGCTCATCATTTTTCTACAAATAAAGCAAAAGACTTAATCAGTAGCTCGCTTCTAAATGAAATAAAAGTAAAAAAAAGCTGTAAAATTGACAAGCAAAATTGGGAAGCAAACATTCAATGTATCATTGTATTTTTGACAGCTGCTGAAAATTTCTTAATTCTTTATGTTACACCAATAAGATGATACATGTAAATTTATACAAACTATTTTTAATTTTTCCATTTTTTAAATATTTAGAAATAAGTTTTATTTGAAATTTTGTTATATTTTTATGAATGCCTTGCATTATGTAACTTATTATCAAAATTATAATATTTATTACATAATTATTTATAAGAATAACACAATTCTTGAGCGCAAATGTACTTTGTAGTTAAATCTTGTTCTATACTCTCCGTAAATGAAGTTATGAAGCGCATAAACTATGCGGCTTACATCAGTCAAGAGGCGTATCATATTATATATTGTACGATACGATATGAACATGGCATTAGGTTCCCTAAGGGTATGCTATAATTAGCAATCTACAGCTTACAATGACTTCATTCACGATGAAGCTCAATAATCATCCCAGAATAATTCTGTCTTTTGAATGTTAATCACAATATTCCAGTAGAACAAAACAGCGTTTTAGGATTACAATAATAATACAACGTATTTTTTCAATTTATTATACGTGATACATATGTACATCTTTTTGCATCACGAAAACAAATTGTTTTTCAATCCTGCGATTTTCCAATTTATATTTAAAATCTTTATTGCTATCAATTTTATCAGTATAAAACATTATTAAAATAATGAATATTTTTATCAATTATAGATTTGTGTTGCTTATTAAAAAAAATGAAAAATCGAGATCAACTTCCTATTTTTCTCGAAAGAAGGAACAATTTTATTTTGCTAGAGAGATGCTGACAAACCGATGAAAAAGCGGCGGGTATCCTGTTTGGAATTGTCAATATTTAGATATTTAAATGCGTGATACATATAACGCATATTTTTGTGCACGTTCGAAATGTCAGGATGGTTGCCCGCGCGTTTACTCTCAAGACTCCCGACTTCTGTGAGCATCGTCGAGCGATCTCTCCTCCGACGTCTCCCAAACGTTGTGCTGCCGGAGTTTAGGACAAGTTAACGCACAACAGCGCGGCAACACGCGCGCGGTAGAGGCGGCGTTTGCGCTTGAATAATGCATCAACAGACCGTTACGCGGCTGCAGTATAACGGTGTGCAGAATGGCGAGAGTGAGGGCAGACCGCACCTCTCCCGCGCGCGTTCAATCTGCCCTTGTTCAACAATTCGGTAACACCCCGCATTAGCATTAATGCAGGATATCGGCGGACACCTGCGGTAATTCATAGGATTGGCCGCGTTCCCTCATTCCCTACGCGGTGACCACGGCTGTTGGCAGACAAAAAGGCGCATTTTCTTTTCGTTTGAAGATCAGTTATAAGAATTTCCGGGAAAAAATATTTCATATATAATTATATACATATAAGTATTATATATAAAATTATATATAATTATATAAAAAATTGACATTTTATATACAATTATAAATAATTATATATAAAATATGTCCATTTATATAATATTTTTTCCTGGGTTATAAGTGATGTAAAATATCAAACGTTTTCTAGAGATAATAGTTACTTCTGTATTGTAAAAAACTTTTACGAATTATAACAATTATAGAGGATAATTTTGAAACTTATATAAAGATGTATATTTACTCACATATATAAATAAAGTTACAACTTACAGATTACATTATTCTTTTTATAGTAATTTGCAAAAATAAATTTACAATTAAAGTTGAGTTTATATAAAAATATTTTCATACGTAATAATTCGCTAATGAATTATGTACAATTTTTCTTATTACGTTATCAACATATGAACGTACGAACATAAAAATACAAATATAATGTGTGTGATATTATGTAATTTTACATATTTTACAGCATTTAATGATATGTTATATATACAACAAATTTTTATAGGAAAGAAAAATTGATGTTGCTTAAAAATTATTGTACTATATTTTATTCAATTGATTGTTATAACAATGCAAATTATATATACATATATCGAACAATATGAAAATTTTCTTTATAATGATCATATGGAAAAAAAACTGCAAGGAACAATACGGGAAAAACGTATTGTATCGAGATATATGCGGATGTACTGCAAATTGCAATATTCTACTCGAATTAATTTCCATTATTGAAGTTAGGGCAAAGCGGCTATTCAGTTGTACTATTTTCATTTATATGTATAAAGTTGTATAAAGTATTGTTATGTAAAAGTTATATAAAATAATATCTTTTTTATCTCATATATTCGGAAATAGCTCGTTGTGATAACTTTTAATTCTCTCTCTCTCTCTCTCTCTCTATCTTTTTTCTTTGGATATTTTATTGCAATATACATTTATTGCAATGTACATTAAATCGTTGTAAAAATTAATTATGATGAATTATTTCAGAGATCTAATTCGCGTCATCTACAGACAGAGTGTAATATAAAATATTTCAAATCCTCGGCATTAGAGATGGCAAGATACGAATATATCTTGCCATATAATAGAAATTAGATATGTCACGATATAAATAATTTCACTTATATGTGCAAAATTACTGCTATTTTAGCTCTTATTATTAGTGAATATTATCATCCACTGCGGCTTTTTTATGTAAGCGTTAGTTTTTTGTTTTGCTCGCATGGTTGCATTCTTACAGACATTGCACTTTAAGTCTTAAATTTAACGAGAGAAAGCTTCTTTTTGCTTGTCTGAGATTTTATAATTTTATAATTCTACGTTGTTCTAGATTTCTTCAACGTCTCTTTTGTACTCAACAGCGGACCTATTCTTAAATGATGATTCGAATGAAAAAATATTACTGCAGTACAATACGATTAAATTTGACAATGCATTATATTGCAATAATTATTTCGTTAAAATAATCAACATTTTTTATTTTCATTATTGAAGTATGCACATATTTGTTTGTCCATACTACAATACACGAGATAAATTATTTATCGGGATTATAACTAAAAAGAATTATTTATAATATGATAAATATAAAGTTCTTCTTATCTAACAAAATTTTTAAAAATTTATTTTATTTATACAAAATATACGATAAATCATATAAAAATTGCAAATATCACTAAATAATATATCTTGTATTGATAACCAAAAATGTTAAAGACATTGAAGCGACGTACATATATATTTTTCGTTAATATGCCGATTGTCAAATTGATGGATTAATTAGTATAGTAAAAAGATGAGTAATTTGGATGTGTCACAGTCGCATATAAGTAGCGCTATATTTGTTCATTTAAACATGTCAACCAATTCTAGTTACTTGCATTTCCAGGTTGATCAACGTCGATGTGCAGACGACGTATGTCCATATACGAATATTATTCGTTACCACGACGACACTATAATTGAATTATACACCTCTCGCGCACGCACGCACACGTGGTTAGCCATTTAATTCAAGAGCAGTGACGACGTGGTCAATATACACAAATGTGAAATGCGCAATGATATCGCTGTCGTAGCACAATTAAAGAGTTATCAATAATCGATCACTGTACTGCGACTCTGATTTATACATTTTATCTCTTTATGCAATCAAAAAGCGAGTTTCCGTAACATAATTATATTATATGTAGGGAAGAGAGAGAGAGCGAATTTATTAAACAAGTATATATATCTATGTGAATCATATTATAATACATACATATGTATGTGTCTCTCTATTCATGTATGTATTACAAAAGTACCGTTTCTACTTAATTCTCAGCACTTGATTTTTAATAAGTAATAAAACTTTAAATCTTTTCGTGCAATTATGTTACTTGTATTACTGTGCTTTTTATCTATATGTCTCATTTTCCTCTCCTATCCTGTAAATTTATAAATTTTGTATTATCAGTGGTTGACCACAACATTTTATGTTTATTGTTATAGTGCCACCAAATATTGACGATTCGCAGAGCTCGTCGGATGCAATCGTTCGCGAGGGCGCCAACGTGAGCCTCACCTGCAAAGCGACCGGAAGTCCAACACCTAGTATTCGTTGGAAACGAGACGATGGTACCAAAATCTCGATCAACAAAACTTTAGCTGGTGCGTACAATATAATTTGATAGCGAGACTTTATGTTAGTAGACAAAACGAATATATATTCTAGGGTAACAATCTATTATTACAACACAAAACTTTTTTTACTATTATTATTTTACTATTATTATTTACTATTATTATTTATTATTATTATTTTCTGTTAATATTATTATTTTATTACTATATTATATTTTCGACACTTCTCTCTCTCTCTCTCTCTCTCTCTCTCTCTCTCTCTCAAAGTACGTTATCTAAATGTTATTTTATTTTAATTTGTACTATTCTTTCTTTTGCAACTTATCTCAACAAACAATTTATTAATTTGTTATTTCGACTGTATTATATATACTACTACTTATATAGACTTAGGCATAATTATGCTGTTGCCTTTTAAAGTGCACTTTCCTATTCCTTATTATTTTGTATATCTACACATATTTCTCATTATTTGCTATTTGCATTTTAATCAAGTTATTATTATTATTAGGGATGCACCGGATATCTGAAAAGTATACCGGATATCCGATGTTACATTCTTGTCGGATATCCGATATCCGGTATCCAGTAATTTTACGATCTGGTGCATCCCTAATTATTATTATTAATTCTCTCTTAAAAATGTAAAGAAACTAAAATTTCTGTACACATTTTTAAGAGAGAATATATGAGATCGTTTTTACTACCGACACAAAGTCTCGTCATATGACTGGATATATTTAAAAAAAATATTTATATGCCGTTCTGTGAAAATGAAAAATAATTAACTTAATCGATTAACAAGTAATGAATATTGAACGGTTGCGATTTCAGTGGCAGAATGGGAGGGTGAAACGCTGGAAATGGCGCGGATTTCGAGATTGGACATGGGTGCATATTTATGCATTGCCAGCAACGGTATACCACCGACAGTTAGCAAACAGATCAAAGTATCGGTCGACTGTGAGTATATTTTATGTCTATTTAATTGCAATGATCTATCGAAGATTAATGCCATCATTCTTACGCCATTAGGAGAGAAATCATTTTACTATAACTATAACCATTATAAAAAAAATACAATCACAATGTATCGGCATCAGTCTCTTCTATAGTGTTTCTTCTGGCAACTTCTTCTAAAATTATTCATCCTTTATAAATTCGTGTAAATATTTTCTTTTTACCTAATCTATCAAAGCCGATAGTTTAGTATTGCGATAATCATTAAACATTGATTTGCTTAAAAAAACTGGTTTTAAATAACTTTTTTAATCTCTCTCTCTCTCTCGCACACCTCGATATATATAACATCATAAACATATCTTCGTTTAAAAGTTATGATATTGATATAAAAAAGAGAAATGTGTAAAAAGTAAAGATCCGAAAGAGATCGCATAATCAGATTTCGGAAAACCAGATTTCTCGGGAGAGTAAAGGTACCTGCCGACAAATAAGGTATAGACTGGCTGCAGCTGTGAGGTAGCCTCTAAGTGGCAACTGCGACATTGCACTACGTCGGTATAGTACGTTGCTTGGAGAAAGGGGTTCAACACATACAATTTAATAATATAGAAAGGAAACCGACGACAAAGCGGGCTTTACTGGGTCTCTCACCTCTCTCTCTCTCTCTCTCTCTCCCCCCCCTCTCCTCCTTTCTCTCCCTACCCCCTCTTCCCCTCCCTCCTTCTCTCTCTCTTTTTCTCTCTTTCCCCCCTCTCCTCTCTCTTGCTTCTGGGTTGCTTGCCGTTGCGCTAAAATAAGCGTGCAAGTGAACGAAAGCAAGAGAGGGAGAAAGAGATAAAGACAGAATGAGAGACAGCAACGGTAGAAAGGCAGCCAAAGGGATGTTGAAAGTCACGATCATGTGTGAGTGCGCGTGTCAAGGGGAACGATATACAGAGGGAAAGAAAAGAGAAAGAGACGGTGAAGGTTCCCTGGTGAGACATAAAAGTAAGCTCGGGCGAACCGCGACACACCATTACCGTTTTCACCCCTGTACTTGCCTATTGTTACGTTACTGCCTCTCCTAAATACCGGGCACGTGCCTCTTCTCCTCCTCGTAGCTCCTTTATGACATGGTTTCCTTTACCGCTACACTCGCACTCGTTTGCTTCCGTTTCCGTATCCGTAGAACCGTTCACGTATCTGTTGATGTGTCTCGAAGTGGATCACTCTTTATGCCTTCCTTCGCGTCTACAGGCTTTTCCTTGCATCCGTATAAAGATCACATAGAGACTTAAGATCGATTAAATGCAAATGTTATCAAAACGCTTACGATGCGCGTTTTAATTTCTTGATATATTTCTGAAGAGAAATATAATAAAAAAAAGAATGAAACGCGAATTATGTGATATTGAATGAAGAAAGGATAGCTACAATCCTGTACCGTATTGCGCTATCTTTGAAAGCTCCGCGATATTTAATTATTAATTATCCGTAAAGTAAAATTGCATCCGCCTTTTAAGTCGACTACAAAGAGATAGTGAGAGCGGAAGTTTGTCGGAGCTTATGCAAAACATAATCTTCGTATTCTTAAGACAGCTCCCTCGAGTTTCCACGTAAGATCTAAGCCAATCCGGAGCGGCACACGAGAGATCTTACGGGAATGAGAATGGATGAGAAAACGAAATGATGATTTATCCATATAATTAAACTAAAACTAATTAATTCAACAGTGTCGGAAAGAGATACGTCGTAATTGTGATTTGATTGAGACGTTACTCGAGAGAGCTATGAAGAAAGAGCAGATGTATTTGTCGCGGTTCTCGACGCGGATATGCTACGGATTATCCTTTTAGGGGTCCTTTAATTCTGTTTGCGACTGTAACTGGCAAAGCCTTTTGTCAACGAGTATTACCTTGGACTCTTTTGAAGTTAAATTACGATCAAATAATGCAATAGTTTTGTCCACGATTGTGTATATCTCATCGTCGTCGTCAAGAAATTAAACCGCTGTTCCACACTACGTGCGGAGCAAAATATGAAATATTTGCTTCAAGGCGCGCGTTATATATTTTTTTTAAATTAGGCATGACATGAATAAATTTATATAAATTAAATACTGGAACTACACAATTGGTATGTCATAGAATATTAAAAATAAAATTTTTATTAATATATAATATAATATAATAAATAATATTTTTTTCTTTATTAGTAATACAAATAGTTATATAAAGGAGATAATTGGCAAAGGAGAGAATCAGTTTGCATCATTATAGTCACATTGGTATACTAAATTTATACAGAGAATAATTACGTACGAGAGTGATTAATATCTCATTACGCTTTTGCTTTTAAATATGTAGCTTTATTTCGACAGTCGGCTCCGAGATTAGTAGCTAATATTTACAAAATCTGAAAATATGCTGTAAAATTTCATATATAGTATTTTGCAAAATACAACGTATAGTTTCCATCGACAGAACACAGTTTTATCCAATTTCTCGTTTCAATCGTTCTCATTCATTCAAAAGAAACACTTTTAATATTGGCTCTTTCATTGACCCGTGGCCATTTCATATTATAACTTGTTTGCGTATAACGGCAGAATATTCCAATGGTCAATAACATCGGCACGAATTTCAGTAGTAACGAGGAATCGATCGTATATGCCAGGTTAATATTTTGCAAGGTGAATTTTTACGTTTTACTTGCAATATGAAATTTTCCTTTTTTTTTTAAATAGCCGTATAATTTTTTTTTGTTTCGCCATCGATATTACCGAGGGATGTAAATTCTGATAGAACTGTTTCAGTACAAAAATGTTTCAAGTAGCATGTACGTTACGATTTACACGTTAATATGTATAGAAGTCGATAGAACTTTCGCGATGATTACTAGACGATACCGTGGTGACATATTTTTAGAACACAAGTGCTGCAGCTGGGAGGTCAGCGGTAACACTTGGCGCGTTTTTACGTGTTCAAGCGGAGATTAATTAAATGGTTAGACAGATTACAACCATCTACCGTCGATCCTTGGTCTGATGACATTACAAGTTTACGGCCTGAAAAACTGTTATATACGCTTTTCATCTCGCCCAGCCTGCTGTTACCACTGTTTCTCCCTCGTAACTTGCGTCGGCAACGTGACGTACATAACGTGACAATATTGTAATACGATAATTATAAAGCTATCGTCATATTGTTGCCCACGCCTGCAAACGTCTCGCGAAATATTTTCATCCTCGAATACGTGGAACGCCAATGCGATCGCGGTATCGCAATTGTTTGCCGGCGAATGTAATTTCAGCAAACACAATTGAACTCCCTTGTTGCATCCATTAATACAGTTAACAGAAGAGCAAACATTGTATCGTTGGTACCATTATTAATATTCTGCAAGTGTTGATATTTGGGGACGTACATATATGCTTATATTTAGATATTTTATCCACACGCATTATACTTTGTAAACTTAGAAAATTATGACACGTTTATAAATACCATCGATGCTTTTAATTTTTACATCTAACAATAACTTTGATTTAAAATTTTTGACTTTTTAATCTTTGCATTTTTATCGTTTGCTAAAGAAATATTTGTATTTTACATTATATATTTTGTCAGTATTTCTGACAATTTTGAATTCAACCAGTCTTTTATGACAATTATAATGATGCAGAGCTTACTTTTACGTATGCATTTTAATTTTTGAGTATGCGAAACGATATGCGTATCTCGTCAAAGAATATTATTTCCAGCAAAATAACGTCCTGCTAAAGAATATAATTTTCGTCTCTCATTAGTTAGCGCGAATTTAGGATGATAAAGTCACCATTTCCGACTCGGACAGACGGACTTGTTGATGAGAGGGAGAAAGCTGAAATTACGTATAGCGCGTTCTGCATAAATTTCCATTAAGAAACGCGGGTGTGTAAACTAGAATTTTTGAATAAAGTTCCAGAAACGTTCAACCTTTGATTTTTTCAATTTTTTTTCCAATTTGGTCACAACGTACTCGGTCCAAATAACTCTAATTGAGTTTGTTTGTACGCCGAAGAATTTTCCGCATAAACGAAATTAAATTGAGATAATGTTTAAAAAAAACTTAATTTTTGGTTGTATTTAGCTTCAGGTTTATTTTTATTCGAATTATTTAATTTTTCGAGTTCACTAATTAGAGATACAAAAGCAACTGTGCAAATATTCACTTTTATTGAACAGAACGTAACTTTTTTAATATGTGAAACATGCTTCAAAAATGGATTCGGCATTGGTGAACAGCAACAATTCATATAAACAAATAATCTATTTCGCTGTATTTTCGAATTGTTACCGTTACACACATACACATATATATATATATATATA